TATTTCCGTTACCTACACTGAGGATAATTCCCCACTGCATGGGAATATATCACTTGGCCATCCTTGCATTGCCCTGTAGGTACTGGGGCTTGAGAAACTGCTGTCTGGTTACTACTATAGTGGTACATAATAAAGTCCTTTGTTTCTGTCCTAGGAGTCTTCTGACATTCTGGCATTCATGAAACTTTGTCATTGTTCTTAGATTTCAAATAGGATACAATCTTAGCCCCTTCACGGTTCTTGACAATTGTGATGACAAGGACATAATGCTGACAGACATGGTTTTCTGGAAGAGAAAGGATCAGGGATTTGCAGACTGATTAAAGGGATTTCTGGGATGTCTTTGGGATTGGTAGCCAACATAGTAATGAAATTTATGTTGAACTGCATAATAATGATCCTCCACTTTAATGCCTATTAATGAGGAGGAATTTACAAAGTGGTTCCAGGCTGAGTACTGGGAAATAAACTCAAAGACAGTTCCCAAATGGTGCCCTGCTGACTATACCCTGAGTGGTGGGACCTGCTCACCCATCTGCCAATTACCCGCAACTCGTTATAGAGTAGTGTACCTCTCCTGATTATAAAAGGAAAGAAGTATGCAACTATTATGAGTGGAAACCAAGATTTCTCTGGTTCTAGTCTATTGTAGATGCTCCTCTTCTCTATTCCCATAGTTTACATCTATCATTGTGATTAACTTATTGCATTATAAATCACATGTTTATATATCTGTCTGTCTGATTAGAGTTCCTTGGAGGACAGGCATTATATGTTATTATTTATTAATTCCCAGAGTTCAATAAATATTTGTTTAATGAATAAAAAATTAAAAGATTAAATTAGATAAATTAATGAATGCTTAACTGAAGGAACAAACAGGGAACAGGGCTCCAATCTGGCTAAGAAGAATCTCAAGCTCAACTACCTGAGGATACCCAGGTAGCTTCTACATCAGATATAGAGGCATTTACTTTGTGCTCAGTCTGGAATGGCGGATGTGCTGCCATGTTCAGTATGATGATGGATGCAGGCAGCAATTGTGTCAATGCAAGCTCAGTCAGCAGCTTGATTCCTATTGGTCTTATCAGGTTCTTACTGTGGACATCTGCATAAGTGATGCAGATATGTGCAGTTTGTGCCCCTGTGGAAGCATACATTTAATATGCCAGTCTTTAGATTGTCCATACTGATGGCTTTGCTGCTGCTATCAGTTAGACCAAAAACATTATCAGTTCATTTCACTGGGCTGCAAACCACCTACACACCCCTGAAAATCACAAGTAAATGTGCTTTCTTACTGCTGTAGAACTGCTCTCACTCACCATGATTCATGGCCCCTCCTTTCCCTTTTCCACTGACCTTAAATGCTTTAAGGAAAAAGATTATTAATAATGGAGTTAAAGTTTCCCTGTTCCTAAGAGGAAATGAAGGTGACACACACCCATCCAAATATGCTAGAGAACTTCTGGGAGGGCAAGCACTCAAATTCTTATAGATCTTCTGTGTACAGTCACCCAAACCACAATCTGCTAGGTTCTGTGAATTGGCAGAAGAAGGGGCACCAGGATTCAGGTGATTATGTTTGGGCAGGGTTTACCAAGGAGAAAGAAAGACAAATGACCTGTGTAAAGGGTCCTTTGGGCCAACTCAATGTACTATTTGCATTGTTTCCACTGCTGAATGTACAATTGGTCTTAACACTTCTTTGTAAATTCTCAGAAATTCCAGAAAGGGTTCTCCTGATCAGGAAAAGCTATATGTACAGAAATACTAATAGAACATAAATCTCTCTCCAATTCTTTTCTCTATTTTCTCTTGGTAGTCCAGCAGAAAAAGTGGAGAATCTTACGGGAAGAAAGGAAATCATCACCTTAAGGACTTAACAACAGCAGGGATAATAACCCAAGATGCAATATCTTGAACAACAGCCAAGCATGGCCAGTAAAAAAGGCTAACAAGATCTGGAGGCTCACAGTGGATTATTGATTCTGCTATTGCTCCTACTGTCTCGACTATTCCAAACATTTAACTATAACTAAATCCTTTGCATTGACTGATGGCACTTGGTATGTTCCCTTTCCAACATCTTTTTCTATCCCACTGGTACTCAAGGTCCAAGACCAATTTTTATTCATATGGCAAGCCTCATGATATATTTACTATACCTAAATTCCTCTTCCATTTGCCATTAAGATTTATGATGTCCTATTTGGCAAGTCACAAGCCTCAGCTAGCAGGAGTAGATAATAAACTCTGACAAAACTGAGGGCCTATCTAAGCAAATTACTTTCAGCAGTCAAGGAGATACTCCTTTTTAGCCTCAACCATCGAAAAAGAAAGCCCAGCACCTTATTAGACTCAGAATATGGGAGACGGTATGGTCTTACTTGGACATTTTAGTTGGTCTATATTATCAGCTAGGGCACAAATCAGAATCCTTAAAGTGAAGTCCAAACCAACTGGCTATGTTGGAAGCTCTCAGCAAGCTATGGCAGTCTCTCTGTCTGTACAGCCCCACAACATTACTGACTCCTCTGAGCTACAAGTCTTTGTGAGTGAGAGAGATTGATTAGAACCTCTGGTAAAGAGAAGCAACCTCCAATTAAAATCCCCTGAGACAAAGCTACTGGCTCAATGGGGTCTTCCATTCATTAAAGTTTCACTAAATGCCTGGGCCTGTTTCACTAATGGTTTCACTAAACTGAAGCCAGCAGTGTCCAGTGGGATGCTGATACTTTTTGTTCTTAGTTCTAGCTATGCAGAACTGAGAATGGAAGGAGTTCTTCCACTAAGGTGGCAGAACTCAAGGTCATTCTTGAAGCTCTGGCCAATGTGCTTCCTGATCAACCCTATTATATTTTTACTGACTCTTGGAGTATTGTCAATGGCCTAAATGGTTTATCTGCCCTGTTAGAACACTATAGACTGACAAATTAAACACACTCCTCCCTGGGGTCATGAACTATACAAATCAGGACTGCCAATTGCAGATGCCCACAGTAAGCCCTGATGAAATCAACTGGAATCAAGCTGCTGATTGAGCCTGCATGGTAGCTTTGCTGCCGGATCCATCATCAGACAAAACATGGCAGCACATCCACTACTTCAGCTGAACACACAGTAAGGGACTTTATGTTTTTGATAAAGTTCTGGTAGCAAAGGCTACCAGAATACCCTCAAGTAGCTGAGCTTGTCATTCATCTTAGCCAGATAAGAGCCCTTGTTCCCTGTTTGTTTTTTCCTCCATGTAGGAGATAGTCATCTAATTTAATCCTTTATTTTTCATCTATTAAACAAAATACATTAATATTGTTATTAATATTTATTACTCCCTAAAAATGTATTTATACCCTGGAAATTCAATATTTACTTATTATTATTTATTAATTTATTTATTAATTCCCAGAATATCAAAAACAATGAGATATACTGTCTATCCTCCATCTATCTCTCCATCCTCCCATCTAATAGGACAGATAGATATATAAATATGTAATTTACAATACAATGTGTTAATCATAATAATAGATATAAAATATGAGAGGATCATCTGCATCAGACTAAGGAATCAAAGGAGGCTTCCTGAAGGATATGACACTGAAATAATTCTAAAGACAAGAAGTTATATAAACAAGCAAGTGTTCAGTGTAATAGTAAATAGTGTGGGCTTTGACAGGCATTATATTAAAAGAAAAAAGCATGGATTTTAGAGTATGGAATAAATGAGTTATAATCCCTTTACTTCCACTTACTAGCTAGGTGTCATCTAAAATATGGAGATTATGTAATCCACTGCAGTCTCCTTCCTCCTTATCAAGCATCCCACAGCTGGGTTGGATGCTATGAATCTACAACTTTCCTACCTCATACCAGTTGGTGTCCCATGTATGCTTCCTGAATTTCAGTATCTTGGCTGGCTTTCTATGCTTTCATATCCCCACCATTACTCCAACAACTGGTGACTTCCCATCAATGTAGCTCTCATAGAAATAGTATTTTTTTCCATACTTTTATATTTCCTTCATTCTTAAAAAAAATAAAGATCCTTGGTCATCTTTGCTCCAAAACTACCAGTCTATCTCTGACCTCTCCCCAGAATCAATATTCTTGAAAGACTTAATAAATTTAACATGCAATAGAATAATTTCATGAAGAGTTACAATAAGCTAGGTCCTGCTTTGATGATCCTGATACATATTTTATATGCATTATCTCATACAGACTTAAAAGTAAACCTTTGAGGTA